AAAGCGGAAAAAAAGGGCTGGAGATGTGGCTCAAGTGGTAGAGCACCTGCTAGCAAGCAGGAGGCCCAAGTTCAAATTCCAGCATTGCAAAAGAAATGATGAGTGATCACCATTCATTGCAAAGATACAAGAAAATGGATGGGAGTGTAGCTCAGTGTAAAGCGCTTGCCTAGGATATGTAAGGCCCTAGGTTTGATCCCAGCACTACAAAAGAAAGACATGAGGAAAAGGAGGCAAAGAACATATTAAATAAAGACACATAAGAGATAATCTTCACTCCAATTAAAAATGAACAAATGATTCTCCATGGATTTCCTTTTTTTTTTTTTTTTGCTGTTACTGGGGTTTGAACTCAGGGCTGCTAGGCAGGGGTACTCTACCACTTGAGCCACAACTGCCAGCCTTCTCAACGGATTTTTCTAAACCAAGGCTGAGAGAAACGAGACTGAGATAACTAAGGAGAACAACACGCCATTAGTAAACAAAAAGAAGGAGGAAGGACAGAGGAGGAGGTTGAGGACAAGGAAGAGAAGAAAAAGAAACACTGATTAAAATATAATCAGGAATGTGGGAGATAACACTACATTTTTAAGGAAAAGGAAAAGAAAGCAAAGATTTTAAAAGGTATCTTCTGGTTTTCAGCAGCGTGGGTGCTCAGCACACAGGGCTCTGTGTCTGTGGAACACAATACCTTGAACGGTTTTCCCCAGGTAATCACCACGCCTCTCTTTATTGATCACGTGCTGATAGATCTTCCCAGTGGTGATGTTGTTGTCTTTATAAAGATTAATCTCCAAGAATTTCATAATTTCCAAGATCCAAAATCAACTTCTCCACCTCATCTTAAGACAAACACTTCACCTACGATAAAAGTGCAATATTTTTATTAAAAATATTAACAGAAATTTAAGACTTGCTTTCAATAGATTACTTTTCAAAGTAAAGAGCTGCTTTAAAAATGTATCTAGAAGACATATTCTATTACCATCTCCTAAGTTTGATGGGGGAAATTTAACAATTTAATTCCACCCATGAAAATGTACCAGAAAAATTCTGGTATCCTACCACAATTTTTTTTTAATCTCACTGAAATTCTGTCTTCAAAACCATTTTCCCAAACTCACCTTATAGCACATAGAAAACAGCAATCCCCAAAACAACAATGTACCCTGAACTCTGGAGTTGACATAAGGAAGTTCTATTTGATTACCATCTTAGTTAAAGCCATAGTTAGACGTTAGATGACAAAGTCACAGGTCCACAATGAGAAAAAAAGCCAGTGTGTGCAATAAGCCACCTGTACAATAGCACCATGGTAAAGGGTCTCAATGTAGACATCATCACACTTGCTTTGACTACTGGGCACCTGTAAACTGGGCACGGGTGGCTCACACCTGTTATCCTAGCTATTTGGGAGGTTGAAATCTCCCAAATTTGATCATGGTTCAAGGTCAGCCTGGGCAAATAGTTCACAAGACCCCATCTGCAAAATAACCAGAGCAAAATGGTCTGCTGAAGGAGTAGCTCAAGTGGTAGAACATCTGCTTTGCAAGCATGAAGTCCTGAGTTCAAATTCCAGTCTCACCCCACCCTACCTCCCAAAAAAAGAACAAAAGAGCAATATGGTAAAACTGTAATCGTTTTATATTTTCCAAATTCCATTTCCACTTCAAATTCCACTTTCTTATGTTAATCAGGAATCATCAGTTTGTGGAAAGGTATTTCTCCTTTGATCTTTGACTTCTGACACACTTTTTGGGGGGATAGGGTTCAGGATGGCTGGGGGTGGAATCTGAAACGTTTCCAGTTAATTCAGGCCAAATCCAGTTTGGCAATACTCCAGGTATATGGCAAATTCTCAAAATTTGAAATTACCAAATGTTAAAAGTGGACATACATTGCTCCTAGAAGAAAAAGACAAATTGTAGCTGTCAATTTTTCAATAAGTTTTCTTAGATACAATGTCATTGCAATAAAAATTTCAACAGATTTTTTTTCTTGACAGAGACACCAAAGTTAATTTGGAAGAAAAACAGAAGATATCACCAAGATAAAAAATGAATAAACCCTAAAACGAACCATAGGGAGTGGAAGAAAATTAAATATATATAAATACAGACCCAAGTATGGTGACCATGCCTATAACCCCAGCACTCAAGAGGCTGAGGCAGCAGGATCAAGGCCAAGTTGGGCTACTTTGCAATACCCTGCCTTAAAAAAACATATATAAGATGGGTACCAGTGGCTTACACCTGTAATCCTAGCTATTCAGGAGGCAGAGATCAAGAGGATTGTGGTTCGAAGCCAGCCTGGGCAAATAGTTTGTGAGACCCTATCTCGAAAAAAACTCATCACCAAAAAAGAAAAAGGGGAGGGGAGAGGACTGGCAGAGTGGCTCAGAATTAGGACCTTAGTTCAAACCCCAGTACCACAAAAGACCCTTATATATATTATGTAATATATATAAAATAAGGCATCAATTTTATGAAATCAAAACACTCAAAAGGTTCTTATTATATAAAGCAATTGAATGTATGACTTAAACAAAGACCATTCACAAAACAAAACAGATAAAATACTCAGAAATAAACTTCAAAAAGATATCAGAGGGCCGGTGTGTAGCTCAGTGGTAGAAGTGTGTGCTTAACATGTTCAAAGCCCAGAGGTATTCTGGGCACTGAATAAAATAACTTCAACCCTAGGATAGTCTACCCAGCAAAACTATCATTCAAAATAGATGGAGCAATAAAAGTCTTCCACAATAAAAAAAAATGCTCAAAGCCCAGGTTCAACCCCCAGGACCCTGCCCCCCCCCAAAAAAGAAATCCAGCTGACCGCCAGTAGCTCACATCTGTAATCCTAATCCTAGCTACTTGGGAGGCTGAGATCAGGAGGATATGAGTTTGAGGCAAATAATTTGCAAGACCCCCATTTTCAAAATAACCAGAGCAAAAGGGACTGGCAGCATGGCTCAAGCAGTAGAGTGCCTGCTTTGCAAGCCTAAAGCCCTGAGTTCAAATCCCAGTCCCATCTAAAAAAAAAAAGAAATCCAAAGAAAAATCGATATAACATATGTAACTAGACAATGCTGCTGCATAACAAACAACCTCAAAGTCTCCTGACCTATGACACATTTACTCCTCATGTTCCACGAGGGCATAGGACAGCTGGAAATCTATTCTTTGTGTCCTCTCAGTCCAAGACCCAGGCTGAGCAAGGAATCCCACATAGAGCAAGCAGCTCGGGTAGCAGAGAGCAAAAGCACAAGAGCCCAACAGTTGCATTTAACATTTCTGCTTCAAGGTTGATGGAATGCCTCAAGTGGTAGAGCACCTGCCTAGCAAGCATGAGGCCCTGAGTTCAAACCCCAGTTAACGCCCCCACCCAAAAAACAAAACACGTTTCTGCCTCAACAAGGACACTGTCACATTTGCTAATGTCTCAGGGCAAAACAAATCACATGGACAGAGAATGACTAACCTCCTTGGCTTGCCCGGAACTGAGGAAGTCACAGTTTCAAAACTCAGAAAGTTCCAAACAAACAGGATTAGTTAACTGCCCTAAGTGACCAAAATGCAAATGTCAAGAGGCAGGAAAATGTACTCCCCAGAAAGATATTGAGTGATCTTTAAAAAAAAAAGTGCAAATCTACCACAGATTTGAATAAATCAAAACCAATGAACTCTAAATTAAAATGAGATATGCTTTTTATTTTATTCCCAGGCTAGTAAACTTTAAAAATAATATTCAGGCCTAAAGGCATAGCTCAAGACACTGAACCTGCCTAGCAAGAGCATGGTCCTAAATTCAAAATCCCAGTATCACCAAAAAAAAAAAAAAGTAAAATTAATATTCTGCAAGGGAATAAACAGACCTTCTTATACACTGTTTGATGTAGATGTAAACTGGTGCAGATTCACAATCCTTATTGGAAAATCCTTGGGAACAGATGGATCTTGGTATTCGGAATTATTCAGATTACAGAAACAATAAACATGTTCCACGGATTAGAAAACATGCCAAAGGCACCCCATAATCAAACACACTCCAAGTGGAGTAAATGAAATAAAGACTGTAACTAACCATAAACATCTAAAGAATTTTCAATTTTCAGAAATTTTGAAAAGACTATAAATAGCCATCAATTTATGATGAATTTTAAGCCTTCAGAACTTTTTGGATTTCAGAGTTGTAGACAAGGGAGAATGAACCTAAAAACCTTCAGCAACGTACATTATAGGAGCTGGGGCTGTACCTCAGTCATAGAGACTTGCCTAGCATGTACGAGACCCTGGATTCATTCCCCTGCACTGATAAAAAAACCACAGAATATCCATTATGGATCAAGAGCCTAAAAAATCCTTATTTTTTCGTATCAGAAATTATACACCTACAAACTTAGGTTTAAAAAAGTGAACTTCAAGAGTTCCATAACAGTGTTGTTTAGAATGTCAATAAACTGGAAATTTACTATTGTGCGGGTTTTGTGCAGTATAGAATACCTAAATATGTCCACAGCATATTAAGTTTTAAAGATTAGAATAAAAGGTAGTGTACCTGTAAGATTCAATTACATTTAAAATTAAAATGAAGGTTCTGAACCAAGCAAAACTGGATGTGGAGGTACCCACCTCTAGTCCCAGCTATTCAGGAAACTGAGTCAGAATGATCACCTGAGTACAGAAGTTAAGAAGCCAGCCTGGGCAACATAATAAAGACTCCCATCTCCAAAAAAAAGCAAAACTAAGGCATGGTGCTGGTGTTTGACAGCAGTTACCCTACAGTTATTGACTGAGACCAAGGAACACAAAAGATTTCTGTTCCTTGATCGGGGGCTGATTACACAATAGGTTCATTTAGTGAAAATCAAAGCTGAGAACTCATGACTTGCGCACTTTTCTACTTGAATGTAAAAAGGTTTTAAAAACAGTATTACAGGCTAATTAATTTATATCCATCAAAACGTCAACATTAATAAGTTATTCCAAGCAGTGAGAAGTGTTTAGAGAAATATATTACCTTTATGATAAAACAAAACATAATCCACGGCAAAAGGTATAATGCTTCCAAAAGCGCTGACTAATTTGGAATGTTATCAGCAATCTGAAAAATGTACCAACGACCATGAGAACTTTTACACATTGATAAAGTATTATTCAGCAAGTCTACTTCTGGGACTCTATCCTAAAGAAATTGCCCAAAACAGAAGAACTGCAGATTAGTCTAATGCTTCATAATGAGGGAAGTAGTTCTTTTTCATACCGTGTTCATAAGGTGAAAAGGTCCCAGCGTCAATATTAATATAGGGGTCGATTTTGATGGCAGTGACTCGGAGTCCACATGATTTGAGAATTGTCCCAATGCTGCTGGCGATGATCCCTTTACCAATGCCAGAGATGACCCCTCCAGTGACCAGGATATACTTCATTGGCGAAGGAATGGCTGGTTGCCAACACCCAGGTATAATCTGAGAGACAATGACATTAAGAGTTAAGAGTGGGGGACAAGGGAAGAAGGACATGATCTCAAGCCAGTAGAGAGTTCAATAAAGTAGAATTTCAAAAGCCAGACAGCACTTTTTTATCTAAACTGAACACCTGAAACTTTTGAAATCAAGTGTTATCTTGTAGGCTTTTAATTTTTGTCACTATTCAGAAAGCTGGGAATACTTTCTCAAGCAAAGTGACTGGCTTGTTCTCCAGGGTTTCCAGGTACCCCAACTCTGTCCAGTGATCACCTATATCATGAGAAACTGAATTTCTCTGTGATTCAGAGGCAAGGTAAAATGTATCAGATCTCAGGCACCGAAGTCATATCTGTACAGCTGCATGTAGGCAAGTAATTTTTATATTGTCTGTGTTTCTTTCTGCATCTGTGACATGGAATAAAAATACCAATCCCTTGGAGTATTATTTAGCACCAAAAAGAAAAGTGCTAACAAGCCATAGAGACATGGAGGAATCCTAACAGCATCTTACTAAGTGAAAGAAGCCAATTGGAGAAAGCCACACATTGTGTGCAACTCCAACTCTATGACATTTTGGAAAAGGCAAAACTATAGAGACAGTAAAAAGATCAGTGGCTCTACCAAGGGGTAGGAGGGAGAGAAAGATGAATAAGCAGAATACAAGAGATTTTTAAGGCAGCGACACTATTCTATGTGATATTAAAATGGTGACTACACACCATAATACATTTATCATGACCAAGACTCTGGCTAAACTCTAGTCAGTCTTCTGAATGTTCTGCTTGGCCCATCTGTACATATGTAACATCCAGCTTCAGCAAAAAATTCCGCTATGCCCATTTAGCAAGAACCATCCCCCTCTATGTCTGATTCTCTCTGATATCTGATCAAGATCCTCATTCTCCACCATCCCCCTATGATGTTTGATCCTGGCCTGTCTTCAGCAAGGATCCTGTTACGTTGGTTTAACCAGAAACCCCCTTCCTCTTTTTATCTCCTCTTTTCCACCCACTGCCCTCACCCTGCTCCTCAGCTATAAATCTTCCATTTGGATCTGAGCCCAATCTCTCCCCCACTGCACGACCCTGTCACAATGGACTGTATACTTACTGTGAGGGTCCTGAATAAAGTCTTCCTCACAGTGCTTTAACAAGTACCATTGACCAATTTTTTAAGAGTTGTGCCACCATTCGGGAGGGATCACATTCACCATTGAACTCTCAGCCTCTCACCCTGGAACCTACATGAGCGCCTTTCAAGCCTGTCTTCACTGCTGACTGAGTGACCTGGGAGCCATTCACTGGTGAGTTCAGAACCATTGACTTACTGTTGACTGGCTGCTTTCGCACTACAATGGCAGAGTTGAGTCTCAGGACAACAAAGTTCTGGCCACAAAGCCTGAAATATTTATTACCTGGTCTTCTACCAAAAACTGTTTTCTGATGCCTGGTATAATGGCTATTGGGGGACTGGGGGTGTGAGCAGTGGTAGGAGTGCTTGCCTAGCCTAGCGTGTGCAAGGCCCTGGGTTCCATCCTCAGCAGGTCAAGACAAAAAAGTTGGCTATTAACATCATTGCCCCTCCACCCCGTTTGGGGATCAAACCCAGGGCCTCTTGCATGCTAGGCAAGCACTCTACCCCTGAGCCGCCTCAGTCCAAAAGCATCATGGACAATAAGCATATCCATCTTAAGTAAGGAGTGCTAAACATAATCTTTTTCAAAATCTATCAGTTTTTACCATTTAAGAAGATTCAAGCAGGAAAAAAGAAAATATTATGTCGCAAGGAAATGTTATTTGACTTTTCTGCTGTTGTCTAATTTAAATGCCTTTATTTTATGGAAAATCCAAAATTAGCTTGATTTTCTTCACTTTGAGTACTAGTTTTTCCCTTGAGTACAGGCAGAGGCTAGCCAACTGGCCACCCACTTACTGAGCTGTATTTATAACCTCAAAAATTCTCAATCCAAACCCTGAGTTCTCCTCCTATAGCTCCCAAAGGTATCTGAATCCTCGTCTCTTTCCACTCCTATGGCCCTGGTAGTCATCATGGTGGTACTTCTCACCAGCCTTCCTTGTTCATCCTACTGTTGATCCAGAGTCAGACGAATGGGATTCACTTATGCCCCAGGCAAATTCCTCAACTTGCCACCATCTCAGTTTCCTCAACCCATGCAATACAGAGAGTTGTGCAGGGCTTTACAGAGAGGGCACGTAAATGCTAAATTCAGGTTAGCTGTTATTCTCCACAACCACCTATTCACTGACTCAGTCAATCAGCTCATAAATGTTCCCTGAACATCTACTTCGAGCTTGATGTGTTCCCAGGATGTGGGGCTGGGAGGAGAAACAAAAAGCCAAGGCCCTGCTCCTCTGGATTTCACTTTTCCTCTGCTATTAAGGGTAAATAAACTGTGCTCTACTTAGGCTTTTTTCTGGCACTGTCATACCATTCAAATGACTCGCCATTTGTAAAAATGAGCAAAATGGGAAAATGTCATGGAGATATGGTGAAGAAAACCGGAGGGCATTCATATAGAATCACATTATGCCTGAGAATTTTCATATAAGAAAATGCTCCCCTAGTCCCACAAAAAAAAAGAAAGAATAGAAAATGCTCATGCTACATGAAAAAAAGCAGACTGTAAAATTAAATATAAAATTATCTCAACTATGCTTTCTTTTTCCTTTTTTTTTTTTTTTTGCGGTACTAGGGCTTGAACTCAGGGCCTTCACCTTGAGCCACTCCACCAGCTCTATTTTTGTGAAGGGTTTTTTGAGATAGGGTCTCACAGCCTGGGCTGCCTTTGAACCTCAATCCTCCTGATCTCTGCCTCCTGAGTAGATAGGATTACAGGCGTAAGCATTCAACTTTGCTTTTTACAATTAAGATCGAAATCTTAATTTTCCAGATCTTAATTTGGTCAAAAATAAATCCTGTCAATTTTTAATATATTTAGGCAATTATTAGTTTTCTGTATTTTCAAAAACACTAGATCCCTGTTTAAAGCATATTAAGATACTTTTAAAAAATCCTTTCAGTACAACGAATATATCCTAATAAAAATTTTTTTAAAATCCTTTCAGAAAAACATAACTAAATACCAAGGAGACACCTAATCCTTTCCACCCTTTTTAAGCAAACAAGTAAGTTTGAAAAAAAGTTTTAAAACTTCAGGAAAAGGCAGGCTGTTTTACATCACTTCCTCCAATGGGGATGGCTTCTGGGGTGAAGACAAGTATTCCACTTACTTGTACGCAGTGAGTGAGCAGAAGCAAGGGTTTGTAAAATAGGTCAGTGTAAGCAATGCTAAAAAAAATTACACAAGCCAGATAGGTAATTTTAAATTCTCAAGTAGCCACACTGAAAAGCAAAAAGAAAGAGATGAAGTTAATTTTAATAATATATCTTACGGGGTGAATTCAAGTGTGATATATTTGATAAATTGTAAGAACTTTTGTAAATGCCACAGTGTACCCCCACCCAGCACAACAATAAATTAAATAAATAAAACCAACTTAGTTAGAAAAATATATATATATATTTGTATATGTAAATATTCATCTTATTTAACACACTGGGCTCAAAACTGTAATCCATTTACCCCTGCGACAGTTAGCATCTTTGTACTAAGCCTTGCGAAATCCGTGCCTATGCTTACAGCATATCTCAGTTCGGACTTGCCACCTTTGCAGGGTTCAGTAGTAGTCACCTATAGCCTGGGCAGGCCTAAAGCAACTAAATGCACCAGGGACACCTTTTGAATGATGGTCATTTACAAAGTAAAGCAGGTCAGACACAGAACAGCACTTACTGAATGGGCCCATTTTATGAAGTTCAAAAACAGGCAAAACTAGGCCAGGAGGGCAACCAACACAGTGCATGGAGCGGGCTGGACGCTGGGGGGGGGGTGTGACTGACTTCCAAAAGGGTCACGAGGGAACTTTCTGGGGTGGTGGAAACGCTCTACAGTACGTTGGGATGGTTGTTACACAGGGTGTAAGGCGTCAGCTCCCATCGATCTGCGCACTTAAAACGGAGCATTTTATTGTATGTAAATTATACATCAATTATTTTTAAAATTTTGCTTCTGACAGCTATTTTGTCGCGGTAGCGGAGTTCAGCGCACCTGGAATGCGAGAGTAGTTGTTTAACCGGTACACTGGTGCAGGGAGAGGACAGAAAGACTAAGTGACCCGCGCTGATCGCCTGCCTTGCCCAACTCCCGCGCAGGGCTTCACTTCCGCCAACGCCATCTCGGGGCTCTCAAGGGCCGGTAGAGGTGGGGCTGGGGGCGGGCAGGTGTGGGGAGAAGCACACCCCGGGGACGCGCCGCTCGGGACCCCGGACTACCGGCTGCCACGGGACGGAGTCCGATGGCACTGGGCACGAGTGGGCGTCCCCCAGTCCCCACGTCCCGCCCGGCCACCGAGGTCTACAAGCGGGAGGTACGGGGCGTGAACGCTATCCCGGAGGGGACAAAGGCGTCCGGCCCCACGTGTGCACCGGAACTGGGGGTGCAGAGCAGGGGCGAGGAGGCCCTAAGGACGCGGGGTGGCCGAGGCCCTGGGGGTCCAGGGGAGGCCCAGGAAGGCAGTTACCTGCGCAGTGGTGGTGGCGGCGCCGTGGAGGCGGTTGGTGCGAGCTCCGCCACGCGGCCAGCCTTGGTGCTCACCTGTCGAGCTGGGGAGGGGTCCGTCGCTGATATTGTCCCGTCGGAGTCACCACGGTTCCTTCCTGCCGCCCTACGGGACCACCGATGGTGCAGAGTCCTCCTCACCCACCGTCCCCTCTCCACCTTGCTGCTGGCCCCGCTGACTCACGCTGCTGAACTTCGGATTTGCAGCCCTGTTTCGTGCGATGGTCCAAAACAAGCACTTAAAAAGTGATCCCTCCGGCACAGGCAGCTCCCGTCACCCTCCGCTCCGGACGCCCTTGGCCCAGTCCTCGCTCAGCCCGGGGCCTACTCCTCCCTCCCTCCCCCGGCTCACTTGGCAAAGGTACTTCGGATGCGCGGGTGACCTCAGATCTCGGAGGTCACTGACCCCCCCAACCCCCCTCCCCCCCCCGGCTTAACCGAGCGGGTCTCCTGAGTCTTCCCGCGAACTTGACTCGTCACAAGCGTTGGCGGGTCCCCTAGAACGCAACTGGAACTGTGGCATCGGTCGGGGAAGGAGAACAAAACAATAACGGACTCCCTGCCCTTGAGCTCACTCACAGTCAGCCTACACACATATTAGTAGTAAACTTCCGCACAGCAAGACTAAGCAACAAGGAACACTGCACGGAGGTGGGGGAGGGGAGGAGTAGAGAAAGGCACTTGAGGCTTCACAGAGTGACTTCTTTAGAACTTTTGCGGGATAGTTGGCGCTAGGACAGGTCACAAGAGTTTATTCAGACGAAAGGAAGAAGCGAAGCAAACTACTTAAATAAAAAGGGTCTAACCACACAGAAGTGTTTGAAGTGAGCTCAAAGTTTAAGAGAAGTGAAGTTTTGAATAACCAGTGTGAGACACTAGAGCCACAAGTTAGGCAAGTGTCATTGAAGACTTATAGGATGGGAGAAAGGAAAGAGAAGGGCCATAAGAGAAGAGAGCATGGGCGAATTGGCAGCAAGGTGTAATGGTGCAGTTAAAGACTTCAAAGCAGAAGCAATTCTAGAAGATAAGACGGTATAGGTTTAAAAAGGTTGAAACACAGAGGAGTTTGTTAATGAAACAGGTGTTCCAGAGGGCCCAGTGGAAAGGATGCTTGTGAAGCCTGCGGCTATGGATGGTTACACTTAATACCTGCCATGTTTCTAAGGTTTCATTCTACATTTCACTACTTTTTACAACTAAGATGGATATTATGATCCCCTTTTTAAAATAAGGAACCTGAGGCTCAGAGAGGTGAAATTAGTTAAGAGTGACAAAGCCAGGACATAGAAGGCAAATATCTGTCCCCATAGCCACTCTTCACCATAGACATAGGGGTTCATCCAATCATCTTACTCTTTTTATTTGTGTGGGGGAGACTGGGGTTTGAACTCAGGGCTTACACACTTGCAAAGCAGGCAATCTATGGCTTGAGCCACACCCCAGTCCCTTTTCCTCTGCGTATTTTGGAGACGGGGTCTCCTCCCAAGTAGCTAGGATTACAAACCACACCCAGCTCAATCATCTTATTCTATTAATCTATGAGACCAACAGATGAAAACTATTGTGTAAAAACAATGGGCTTATTACAATAACCATTGCATTGTCAATCCAATTTTTTAAAAATTAGCAGAAAAATATTTGGTAACAGTGCAGATTGAATTGTGTGGTATAAAGGTGTGACCTTGTTCACCAAGTGTTTACTCATGGGCACTACCAACATAACCATCATGCTGGACCCTCAAGACAATTTAAAAAAAAAAGAAAAAGAAAAGGAATTCCTCTTTGGTTAAGTTGATTGCTGATGTTCTTTTATACTTTTGTTTCGTTCTGCTTTTTTGAGACAGTGTCACTAATGAGGCCACCAAGCCTCAAACCCCAGGCTGCCTCAGCCTCCTAAGTGCTAGGGAGCATGTGTCACCATACCTGACTACAAATTTTTTTTTTGGCAGTACTGGGATTTGAACTCAGTGCTTCCTGCTTACTAAGCAGGCACTCCATTGCTTGACCCATTCCAGCTCCCCATAATCTTTTAAAGAATTTTACTGGGAGCCAGGCACCAGTGGCTCACATCTATAATCCTAGCTACTCAGGAGGCCGCGATCAGGAGGATGGAGGTTTGAAGCCAGCCCCAGCAAAATAGTTCGCAAGACCCTATCTAGAAAAACCCTTCACAAAAAGCGCTGGTAGAGTGGCTGAAGGTGTAGGCCCTGAGTTAAAACTCCAGTACCACAAAAAAAAAAGATACATACCACTGAATTGTACACTTTAAACAGGTGAATTGTAAGTGAATTATATCTCAATGAAGCTGTGGGGGAAAAAACAGGTTGTGTTTTTTAAGCTAAAATCTTGAACCTTAGGGCTGGTAGAGTGGCTCAGGTGCTAGAGTGCCTGCTTAGCAAACATGAGGCCCTGAGTTCAAACCCCAGAACTGCCAAAATAAGTAAATTAAAAAATATATACCCTGGATCTGAATAAAATGTAAATTTAGGGCAGTCTGGAAAACAGAACAGCAGGGAAATCAGAATTATAATCTGTCCCCCCACTTTTTTCCCCACAGGTCATTGGAACTGTCCTACTCTGTCTCAAAATGGTCAAAATCACCACATCTTTCCACAACAGATGGCCCTAGTCTGTGCCAGGAAATATATTCATGAACTCCCTATCACTCGTTGGACACGTTATTTTTTGTGGTACTGGGGTTTGAACTCAGGGCCTCACACTTACTAGGCAAGTGCTCTACCACGTGAGCCACCCCACCAGCCAACATGTTATTATGAAAAAAAGTTAGAAGTATAGAAAAGTCAACATTAAAGTAAAATCACTTAGTGTCAATAATTACCAACCCATGAACGGGTTTGTTTCATCTATGTTCCCACCCACTTCTCTGTACTAATCCTGTACTAATTTAAGGCAAATTCCATGCGATTTCATTTCTTTGGTCAATACCTCAATATGACTCATTAAAATAACTTTTTTTTTTTTTTAACATTTCCAGGCTGGGGATATAGCTAACATGCTCAAGGCCCTGGACTTGATCCCCAGCATTACAAAAATAAAAACCTAACAACTGCTGTGTCTGTCCATGGATGAATGGATAAACAAAATGTGGTACAGGCTGGGGGCCCTTGGCTCATGCCTGTAATCCTAGCTAATCAAGAGGCAGAAATCAGGAGGATCACGGTTCAAAGCCAGCCAGGAAAATAGTTCTGGAGACCCTATCTCCTATCTTGAAAAAACCCCAAGATATAAAGGGCTGGTGGAGTGGCTCAAGTGGTAGAACACCTGCCTGGCAAGCATGAGGCGCTGAGTTCAACTACAGCAATGTAATAATAATAAAATAATAATTGATAGGCTCCCTGCCCCATCTCCCTCTTCCTTGCAGTTTATTTGAAGAAACAAAATCTTTTTTTGTTGTTTATTTTTTGGTGGGACTGGGGTTTGAACTCAGGGCTTTGTACTTGCAAGGCAGGCACTCTACTGCTTGAGTCACATCCCAGTCCATTTTGCTCTGGGTATTTTAGAGATGGGAGGGTTTCAAGAACTATTTGCCCGGGCTGGCCTCGAAACCGCGATCCTCCTAAAAAAAATCTCAGCTTCCCAAGTAGCTAGGATTACAGGCATAAGCCCGGCAACAAGATAGTTTTCCCAGAGGTTTCTCACAGTCTAGATTCAGGTAACTACATCCCGCGGTGCTACCAACTTCCTCTGCCCTTTGTACTCCCTGCTTACTGGATTTACAAGCCTTGGGTTAGTTTTGTCTGTGGCTCAGGAGCGGGTTAAAGACATCCATTTCCGGCTGGACCTGCAAAGGCAAGTTTAAGTCACCAGCCATGCCGCTTAGAGGAAATCACAAAACCAAAGTAAACAGAGCTGTGAGAACCCCGCTGTCCCCACGCTCAGACGGTGGTGCAAGGAAAGCTGGGAAAGCAGGGAACGGGAGTGGGCGGGGCTACGCGGGGATAGCCCTTTGTCCTGTTTCCACGCGCACGCCACAGTTGTCAGTGTGACGTGAGAGAGGGCGGGGCCTTTGGCCGGACACGACGCATGCGCGGCTTGCGGCAGAGTCGACAGAGAGGCGGGCCCACGGTGGAGCTGCTGCTCCCCTGTCGCCCCCACTTCCTGCCATCTTCCCCGAGACTCGCGGAGTCGGGTCCCAAGTAGGCAGTACCGGCGGCGGTGTCGGCAAGGGGACCGCGGCGGCGGGCCCGCGGCGGGATGTTCCGAGGCCTAGGTAGTTGGCTTGGCTTGCAACAGCCCGCGGCGAGCGACGAGCAGTCCCCGGGAGACGCTCCACCCGAGCAGTCTCCGGAAACGGTGGCGGAGTCCACCGAGGAGGAGCGGCAGCCAGCGGAGGACCAGGAGCTCTTCCACCAGGCCAAAGATCTTGGCAGTGAGTCTCTCCCGGACCCGAGAATGGGGTGGGAGCTGCCCCTGGGGTTCCAGGCCGGCCAGCCCGAGGCGGGGCGGGGGGTGGAGCGGGTAGGGGAGGAAGGTGTGTCTGTCAGTCAGTCCTGTCCGGGACGGGAGAGATTGGTGAGAATCTGGGCAGGCCAGAAGCCTCATCTAGCAGTCAAGTCCTGTCCCTGAAGTTCCTGATGACCTGTCACGCTCCGCAGTACTTGGCATACATTGAAAACAGGGTGAAGCTATTTGGTGCGGCGTCTTTGGGTGTGACGGAATTTTTTTTTTTTTTGCACCTTACCGACTTTCACCTTTCACCTTACCACTTCTCAGGGATTGTTGGTTGAAAAACTATCTTTTTGCCTTTAGGGCGGACCAAAAGACGTTACCTCAAGTAAGTTTACACGTACTGAATGCCAGTCACGCTTGGTGGTCTGTGGGCGTCTCTTCCATCCTTGAGGTGGGAAAGGAGCTGCCAGTTGTCTGCTATATCCAAGTCGCAGTGCTAGATGTTTTATGAATGCTATCATTTCATCTGTTACAATTCTCCAGCAAGGTGGGGGAACACGCCCAGAGTGATAGTGAGTGGTAGAAGTGGAACTTGGTCAGTCTAACTTTAAATCCCATGTTCCTTGTCAGTTCGGTTGAGGGGAACAGTTAACATGAAGAATATAAACACAAGCCTAGTGACCGATCGGAGAGAGACTTGGGGAGACTTAAATAGTCAAAGCAGTGGGCCCTAAAGCAGACTAGCAGTAAAAGTGATAAAACTACAGCAAAGGTAGATATTAAATTTAACAAGCTTTAAGGAGAGAGAAGAGAGAAAAAAAAATAGTAAAAAGGGCTGGAAGAGTGGCTCAATTGGTAGAGCACCTGCCTAGCAAGTGCAAGATCCTGAGTTCAAAGCCCAGTATCACAAAGAAAAAAAAAGAAAGAAAGAAAGATTCAGGCAGTTTCTGGAAGAGGCAGTGTCATTACCTTGGTGCAGACTTGTCAAGATTCATTTTCTCTGCTGACCAGGTGGGCATCCACCAAAATTGGGGTTGTTTTGGCAAGGAGGAGGGAGTTAGGCTATTGACTTGGCAGTGAGCAAGGTCTACCCCTATCATGCTGGACAAACCATTTTTCTGTAAACTTGGCAAATTATACCTACTCCTCTTCCCAGGAAGGTCGTGAATAATGAAAATGAAGATAGAACAACTACTTTAAATGTTAGCTAGTATGTTGGCCATGGCAGTGCACACCTGTAATCCCAGCACTTGGGAGGCTGAGGCAGGACAATTGTGAATTCAAGACCAGCCTGGACTAAATAGCAAGACTCTGTCTCAAAAAAACAAAGCAAAAGTGCAGCTATCTGCTCACAGCTTATCTTCCATAATAAGTCTGCTCATTCATACTCACTTGCAAATGTTGGAATTTGATTTCCTTCTTTGCTGGCTACTTCATTTCAGACCTTTGCTTAGTGCCTACGTTCCTGAGTGGACGTTGTACTCCTGTTAAGTCTTCTCACCCCCTCCACCCCATCGGGATTTGATCTCAGGGACTCTTGCTTGCTGGGTAGTACAGTTACTGCTTGAACCACTCTCCCAGCCCCTGTTAACTCTTTTCTTTCTCAATATTTTCCTAGCCACTTAAAAAACTGTCTTTAACTTGATGTGAGTTGATCACTTGCAGAATTAATAAACCATTTCTCATCTTTCTGGGCTTCTTGCCAAAAATCTCTCGTCGTGATCTCCTGCTTCTCACTCCCACTGACCCCAGCGTCCAGGCCATTCTGGACAGTCTGGAGACTGTTCATCCTTCTCTGAGTGCCGCACCTTTGTTTAATGACTAATTTGTTTGTCTTGTCTTTGATTGCTTTCTTTCTTTTTTTCTTCTCTTTCTTTTTGGCTTAGAAATGGACACTACCCAGGGAGTCATAAAATTTGAGAATTGAGATTATTGTGCTTAAATACCAATTTTAAATAACATTTCTCCCTTAGTTTAAAATGGCAGTTTTGAATTAAAAATAGATTTCTGAGAAAATCTTAAAAGGATCCCTGTCCTTTTAGAACTTAGGGTTTTTGTTTTGTTTTGTTGTTTTGGTGGCACTGGGGTTTGAACTCAGGGCCTCACCCTTGCTAGGCAGGTGCTCTAGCACTTGAGCCACTCCACCAGCCCAGAACTTTAGGTTTCTTTATCTGCAAAGAAGAATTTTACATAGCAGTGTAGCTCGACTACCCATTTTATCATCACCACTTTGTGTAGCTAGACTTGTCATAACCAGTGATAAATAATGAAAGATCAGCATTTATTAGGTCACTCCCCATTCAACAGTACTTGGTGGTGGTCACCATCTGGGAATGACCAGGTTAAATCAGATAGTCCCTACCCCGTTGGAGCTTAGGATAGGCCTTTAATTTGGCTGAGAAGACATTAACCAAACAATTGATAGAGTATCATGGATATTGCTGATAGAGCCGAGGGAACACATCTCAGGGGCACCTCTAGACAAGGAGCCAGGAAACGTTTCCTGAGGAGAAGTGATATTTAAGTAGAGATCATGGGGTGTATAGTTAGCCAGGTGAAGGGAGGCTGGAACTAGTATTTCAAGCCAGTAACATTTGAGACTTCCTTGGAGGTAGTAAAGAATTTCTGCATGGTCATACCAATGTAGATGAAGCTAGGACAATGGTGAGGGCCTGAGATAAGTACCCTCCTGCAGTGTAGTCATAATGGGGTGTTGATATGGTTGGCACATAAATGCCCCCAGACCCAATGGGAGGAAGTAGAGTAATGGGAAGGTGGAGAAAGGGTCATTATATTAGAGGACAGTACTGCTTCCAGAGGCCTTTGCAAGCTGCCTGTTCCCACCCACAGAGTGACAATACAGTCAGGTATGCCAAGCTCACTTTGCCATTCTTATCAGAGTCCACCAGCCTGGTCTGCCCCCTCCACGGGTATAAGTAACAGAAGTAAGCTTCACCCAGATCCAGCTTCAGAACCTGCCTCTGGTCTGTTCCTGAAGCTCATGTGAACTTTGGAATAATATTTGTCTATACATGGGCCTTATAGTGCTGTAGAGCCTTGATAGATCTTCAGGTCCTCAAGAGAGCTACTTTAGTGTTTTGGTCTAAACGTGAAAGTTGAGGTGTGCCAATTTTAATCTTCTACATATTTTATCATTATTACTGGTTAAGAAGGATTTGTATTTCTTTTTAGGGCTTGCCAAGATTTCTGTATATTCAAATTTTCCCCAGATTTATCATGAGATAAATCTAGGAAGAGTGGAACTTTCTTTTTCTTTAAACAGGAAAGAAGAAGGAGAAAATAAAGGTGGGGTAGATACCTGGTGTCTAGAAAGGAAGGAAATATACAGGAGCCTTATTCTTGTATTATCTTGTAAAGCAGGAGGGGTCATTTACTGAAGTAAGTTAGAACCAGAGACTTAAGATGGGCAAGAAGAGTTTGAAACGGCTGGGAGAGGGTTGGAACGTGCCAATGCTCTTTGAAAGAGATGACTTGAAGGCCCTGTGGGTGATCACCAGTTCTTTGAGAAAGTGATGCTTCTCATTCCTTGTTGCAAGTCCTTGTAACAGGGGACAGGCCTTATCGATTTAGATTGTTGTAAGATTTCTTTAAGGGAAAACACTTATATAGTCAGCTGTCCATATCCACCGGTTCCCCATCCTCTGATTCAACTAACTGCAGACCGAAAATATTTGGAAGAGAAGAAATTAATATCTGTACTAACATGTACAGACTTCTTTTCTCGTCATTATTCCATACAGTTATTTACATATCATTTACATTGAGTGGGTGTTATACATAGAGATGATTTAAAGAATACAAGTATATGGGAGAATGTTCATAAATAAATCCTATGCAAATAGTATGTCTTTCTTTTTCTTTTTCTTTTTCTTTTTCTTTTTCTTTTTGTGGTTCTGGGGTTTAAACTCAGAGCCTCATGCTTACTAGGCAGGCACTCTGTCACTTGAGCCATATCTCCAGCCCTGTTTTGTATTGTGTATTTTCAAGATAGGGCCTTGTAAACTATTTGCCTGGCTATCTGGCTTCAAACCTCCATCCTTCTGATCTCTGCCTCCTGAGTAGCTAGGATTACAGGTGTGAGCCACCAGTGCCCAGCTTAAAAACTATTTCATTTTAGACAAGATCGGGCACGTTCAGGGTGGTTTGGCCATAGACAACTGTGTCATTTTATGTAAGACTTGAGCATCCACATTTTGGAGTCTGAGGGGGAGGGATTCCTGAAACAGACTCCCCCCACAGATACCGATGGAAAACTCTAATAACCATTGTACTTGAATGAAACATAGACTCTCTTTATCCTTTACAGATTATCTATTTAGCTTTGCAAGTGCTGCCACAAAAAGGATAACTGAATCAGTTGCTGAGGCAGCGCAGACAATAAAGAAATCTGTAGAAGAAGGAAAAATAGATGACATTATTGATAAGGTACATTTAAATATCTTTGGGAAGTAGAAATTTATGAAATTCATTAGCAGCTAATATAACCATCCCTTCCTCTGATCCTTCCAACCCAAGTAGGATAACATATCATTCTGTAAAAGCTTAATCTTGAGATTCTTGGTTATTCTTTCTCTTTGTATTACAAGTGGCTAGAGTATAATATCTAACTTTGGTTTTAGCACTTGGGAGGCTGAGGTAGGAGAATTGTGAGTTGGAGGCTAGCCTAGGCTACGTAGGGAGACCCTATCTCAAAAAAAAAAAACAACTTTGGTTGTGAGTTTAAACTATAACTGTTTAAGGATATATGTATGCCTTTGCATCATTTGGTAAATTTTTAACATCCTTGCCCATTAGGAACAACTCTTTTAAGACTAAATAAAGTGAGTTTGTTGGTTTTTTCCAGTGCTAAGATGCAGACCTAGGGAATTTGATTTATGTTGGTAATTATCAATTAAGCCTTAGATATATTATTTAGATATTTTTTGTTATGTATAGTCTTAGAATGAAAAGGCAACTTGTCTTATTTTATGGAATAATACAAAGTTCAAGTTTTTCCAACTCATTTTATTTTTGCATTTGAAGAGATAATGTGTCAAGGAAGTTTGTATTTAAAATTAATGGAGAAATATCATTTTTTAGCCTTTTATCCAAAAAAATGAATAAAATGTCTCAAATAGACTTAAAATGTTGAATGTAATTCTTATTTAATAGTAAACTTTGCAAAGTAATTTGACTCTTCATGTTTTTATTTAACAGACAATTATCGGAGATTTTCAAAAGGAACAGAAAAAATTTCTTGAGGAACAGCAGACAAAGAAGTCTGGTATTGTATACGTTTGTCCTACCTAACCTGCCAAGTTTCTGTGTGTGTGTGTGTGTGTGTGTGTGTGTGTGTGTGTGTGTGTGTGTGTGTTGTAGTATGCTGGGGATTGAACCCAGGGTCTTGCACATGCTAAGCAAGCACTCTACCACTAACCTTACAACCCCAGATACCCCTGCGAAGTTAAGCACCTATGATATGCTACACTTACACTAAGGCTCTGAGAATTCAAAAATATGTATGGGAGGTGGGACCTCCTAGTCCAAGATCAGGCTCCCACATCACCACAAGGAAACCTTTGTGGGACATGTCTCCTCAGGGGGTGGCCAGTTGTTGTCTGGCACAGTACTTACAGTGAGTTCCAAGCACATGGGCTGGGTGTGTGACATCTTGCTGTTCTTTGATTCCAGCCCTATTTATTATCTTTGATTTGTCATTTTCTTTCACTTGCTTTCAAAAACTTTTGAAAACCTTTTTCTCATTCCTAATCCCTTGTTTTGTTTTAGGTGTTTTTTTTTTTCTTCTCAGAACTGTTTTTTGTTTTGTTTTTTTCCCTCAGACCTGGGGTTTGAACTCAGGACCTCATACTTGCGAGGCAGGCACTCTATCACTTGAGCCACACTCCTACCTTAGTTTTTGTTTTCGAGACAGGGTCCACTATGTACCCCAGGCTGGCCTTGAAACTCCTGGATTCCCTGCTTCATCCTCTCAAGTACCTGGGACTACAGGTACACACCCTTCACCTGGCCTAATCATTTATCATCACCTTTTTTTTTTTTTCCTCTGGTGGTACATGGGTTTTTCGCTCTGGCTAGGCAGATGTTCTACCACTTAAGCCATACCTCCAGTCCTCCTCAATACCTTTTGTCATGAATCAATTACAGTGACTTTCTGAAAATCTTTTTATTTGGAAAAAAAATTCAATTTATAGGAAAGTTGCAAGAATAAAAATAGTACATAAAATACCCACGTCCCAGTACTTACTGTTCATCTTATTTCATTTGCTTTGTTATTTGTGTACTTTCTCTAGCTACTGCTCAGTGTTGCTGTGTCCCCTTTTTTCCTCTTCCGTTCAACGTGCACTTCCTAAGAATTAGGGTATTCTCCTTCATAATCTCACTATAGTTAATGACATTAGGAAATGTAGCAGTCATATAATACTTGAATCTGCCATTCAGCTATTAATTTTGTCAGTTGACCCAATAATGTCCTTTATAACACTCTGCCCCTCAGTCCAGAATCCAGTTGAAGATAAGATACTGGATTCTTTGTCATGTCTCTTAGCCAACTTTACTCTGGAATGTTCCAGCAGTCTTTGTCTTTTATGATATTAATGTTTTTGAAGAATACCACTCTTCCTTTTTTTCATAGATTCTTCGACATTTGGGCTCTTTCTGATACTTCCTCATAATTAGATTCAGGTTATGCATTCTTGGCCAGAAAACCACATAGGCAGTGCTGTGCCCGCCCTAGGATATCATGTCTGGAGGCTCACAGTGTCCTTCTCCTCCTTCTTGCTGATACTGATTTTGATTATCTGGTTAAGGTGTCATCAGATGATTTCTCAACAGTGTCATTCAAGTAGAGTGATTTTTGACCAAATGCATACATGCACAAAATTAAGTCTGGATATTACAATGAATGTTCACATTTGGAAGTTAGTGGTAAATTGCTATTTCAAATGGACATGTAGAAACTTCCTCAGTTTTTGAAACTATAGCTTGCAGCATAACTATTATAATCTTTTTTTTTCTCCTTTCTTCTGTATAGAAGCAGCTGTGCCCCCATGGGTTGACAGTAATGATGAAGAAACAATTCAACAACAAATCTTGGCTTTATCTGCTGTAAGTATCTTGTGATACCCTGGATAGAACATACTTTCTTCCTGTCATGGTGCATCTCTGTTGGCATGACTTTATCCTTAGCAGAATTTTTTTTTGGTGGTACTGGGGTTCGAACTCAGGGCTTTGCAGTTGCTAGGCAGGCCCTCTACCACTTGAGCCACACCTCCTCCAGCCCAATTTTTTTCTTCTATACAGTTTTTTGTTTGTTTGTTTGTTTTCCTTGGGGCCTAGACTAGCTTGCAACTCACTGTATAGCCCAGACTGGCCTCAAACTCACGATCCTTCTGCCTCCCCCTTCTAAGTGCTAGGATTATAGGTGTGGCTTGCACATTTTTTAAACATTTTGAAATGTTAGGAAACATTCATATCAGCATCACTATTGTCTTTAATAACATTGCTGGTGTTCTTTGTTTTTGTTTTGTTTTGTGGTTCTGGGGATCAAACCCAGTCCCTTGCATATGATGAAACAAGTGCTCTCCATTGAGCTGCACCTCCAGCCTTTTAAACTAATTTGAGCCAGGCACCATGGCTCTTACTTGTAATCCTAGCTACTAAGGATGCTGGAGATCGCGAGGATACAGTTCAATGGCCAGCCCAGGCAAATGGTTCACCAAGACTCCCATCCTCCAAAAATAACCAAAGCAAAGATGGGACTGGAGGTGTGACTCAA